TGTGTTTATATGTATGTACGTATGTGTATATGTATGACATGTGTATGTATGTACGTATGTGTATATGTATGACATGTGTATGTATGTCATGCGTATTGGACAATTCACGCTCCATAAAATGAGTATATCAGCTTCAAAAACGCTTGTTATTTCCAGTGTACTTAAGCCAAGATACATTTAACGTTCTCTTGTGTTAAGTAGCTTTCCCACGGGTTGTAACAGTACTTAGCTGGCTTTACCACTACTCTTTGCATACTTGAAAAGTCTATTGTTTCAAGTTGCGTCATAAGTAACCTATCATTTGTGTCTAAGCTTAGAAACTCTTATTGTTTGATCTAAAACACTTCCTAATATATAGACATTAGGTTAAGTGTTCGGGAGTAATTTTTGTATTCCAAGCAGCTAGAATAAACAAGTACTTTCTTCCAAAAAATTGCTACAGAAAGAATTATACATCACTATTTCTAGAAAAAATCTTTCCTTCTGTTATTAACAAACTCTTAAAATGCTACACTGCACATAATCAAATATTTTCTGTCAATATTTGTTTATTCCATCAAATATATAAGCCAAAAAATGAAACGTGGAAAAAAAAATCTCTATTTTTTAGCCGCGTCATAGGGGCTCATAGAATGGCTCCGAGTTGTTCAAGCACAATCTTTGTTATCTCTTGACCGATTTGAGATCTAATTACAGTTTTCGACTCAGGAGGTCAAACCCTTTCGACTGATATATCTTACCACGCCCAAGGTCTCATAGATTAATTTATTCTAATCCTGCCTAAAATAATTTCAATTTGAGGGTAAGGCTGGTAGAGATCCTGATGAGTAATAAAATCAAATCGGGTATACGCGAGCCCAACGCTTGGTATTGCTGGCGCACAAAAATATGGCAAATAAAAAAGGGGGGAGGTCTCATAGATTAATTTAGTCTAATCTTGCCTGAAAGAATTTCAAGTGCCACGGCTGTTGAGGATTCCCTCTTGTTTAATACTTTGAATGACTCTTACTCTGTTCAAGAGAGAATTTGATTTTGTCGAACATTTAACAATAACTTTAAAATGGTATTTATATTTATTTAATCATCCTAACATAATCTGGGCTATCGATGAAAAAAGAGAGAGAGATCATAAAATAATTAACTTCCAATTATTCTGACGCGTTGGTGACGTCCACGGACTTCCCAACGCTAGAAGCCGGGTTTCGATACCCGTAGTAGGCAGAGCACAGACAGCCCTTTGTGTAGCTTCGTGCATAATTACAAACAAACAAACAAACCAAAAAATATTTGAAAAAGACAACCTAGCGTGAATAAAAACAAAATACGCATGCAGTGAAAAACTTTTATATGGTGTAATTACAAAGTTTGTTAAACTTTGTATATTTTATTACACAGCTAACTGCTAACCTACTTGCTGAATACGTTGGCTATTTTTACACATGGGGATTTTATAAAATCAACT